AGACTTGTCCACAAGCATATTTAAAAGTCATACTTTTAAAAAAATGAATACCATGATTGATAAGCAAATATGCAACCTCCAAAAGTGGGCACAAAAGTACAAGAGAAATTCTCTTTGTGCTCCTCTGTTCTGTTTGTTGGATTAAAAACAAATCAATTTGGCCATTCATTTCCTGGCACACCTTAAGCCTTTCACTTCTCTTCTGTTTTGTTCACCATGCTACCAACATCATCTTTGAAGTCACATTATAGAATGAAGCAAAGCTTCCTAATAAGATGTAACAGGCTGCTGAAAGATGTAAGGGGAAGTTATCAAATTCTCATTACTTGATACTTTTAGAACCAGACAAAATGCCAGCCACCATAGTCAGCGGCAGATCCAGATGGGCTGAAGCAGTGTAGCCGCACCCCCCTGTTGGCCATGTGGCACATGCACAATGAGGTTTCTAAGCTCAGCAGAATGCCAGTGCAGCTGCTGCTGGAGTTTTGCCGATGCTGTGAGATCTTGAGTTTATCAGCTGACTGCTTGGACTCTGGCCACAGTCCAGGAGTCCAGAAAGTGAGAGTGCTACTGCCACCTGATCTCCTCTATTCTGAATTCAATGGGGGAAAAGGAGGAAAAAGAAGGTGGACAAATGGTAGCATTCTCTCCTTGAGCTCTGCAGTTGTGTGAAAGCAGGGGCCTTAGCCAGAGTCTGCTCCAAACAGGTGCTAAGCTCAAAGAGCTCATGACACTGGTAGACCTCTGTCAGCAGCTGCACTGATATGCTGGGGAGCTTAGAGAGCTCATTGGACATGTGCCACACTGCCAAGGGGGGGGGGGGTATCATCCCCATCCTGGATCCACCCATGCATACAGGAGCACCGAGAAGGATGTAGGCTGAATACTGTAATTATTTTTCATATCATTTATAATTTTATGGCAGGAACACAGATCTCCATGGAAAGATTGGCTTGTCTCTATGGTAGTTCAAAAAAATTCCATGTAAACATCAAAGTAAAACCAGGCAAGTTTCTGCTGCATTTCCTCTCACTATCGTGGGATCACAAACACTCTTTAAATACAGCCTGACAGCTTATGGACTGCATCCTGAGAGGCATCAATGTATAGCCTGCAGACTCCTGCCCAACTTCCACTCCTATCATTGTTCCAGAAGCTGCGGTGATGGGGGCCAGGGTCCATGGGGCAGGTACGAGGCTCAGTGAATTTGCAGCCTGTGTGGCTGCTTGCAGCAGCAGCAGGGGAGGGAGAGGGGGCTTGGACAGAGGGCTCACACTGCTTACACAGCAGCATGACCAGGGGGTGGGAGATGGGAAGGAAAAATCGGCCATATGTGGGCAGAAGCAGAGGTGGGCTTACATAGCAACAGGAGGGTTAGGATTATCTGCATGGTGGTAGCAACAGTGGAACATGCAGTAGGGGTTCTGGGGATCCTATATAAAACTCCCCGGGACAGGCAGACCAGTATCCATGACCTGCGCTAGACAGCCCTGCTCCAACAGAGAGCAAGGTCTTTCACATTCCGCACAACTCATGCTGTATTTCTCTGGTTGACATTAAACTAAATATACCCTCTTACTTTTCACTTACCTAGAATAATAAGCTTGGCAAGTTGAGCATGTGCACACAGAAGTTTTAAAACTGCACTAAGAAGTTGTACGGACACCAAGCTCCCTTCATCTACAACCAGAACTGTCACTGAAGAAAACTTCCATGGGTAGCATGTATCTTTTGAGTTCCATGCGTAAAAGCTATGGATGATCTAGAAATAAACCAAACTTTTAAAATGTATTTCTATTCCAGAAACAACTGAAGTTATCAAAATTAAATAACTTTTTGTGGTAAGAAGCACAACATGGTATCTTTCATCCTGTCTCTATCACAAAAAAAAAAAATCTCAATTTACATAAAAGGCAGGGGTGTCAACTCATCTAGGTCTTCAGGGCCAGAAATTTGGCAGTAGTAGTACTAACTGCTAAGGCTCCTAGAGCCACAGTAGCTGTTGCTGCTCCCACCAACCAATTTCCTGCCCAACAGGACAGACAACATGGATCGGTGGTCTAAATCCAGTCCATGAAGTGAGAAATTTGGCGGTGGAATGGACAGCTGCAGCATTAATTACTGTCGTTCTGGGAGCCATGACAAGGAACCTCTTGTCCCACTGCCAAATTTCCAGCCCCATGGGGAGCCACACAGGCTGGATGCCACAGCTCCACAAGCCAAATGACATGGATTGGGAGGCCAGATCTTTGCCACCCCTGACATAATGAGACAAAATTAACATTCAATCTTACTCTTCAATTACCAGAAAAACACATCTGCTAAAAACATGTACTTTGATGGAAGAATCAATAAAGACTGCTTATGCATAGGAACATGCAAAGATCTCCTCAAAAACACAGCCCATACTCAAATGTGGTTTGCTGAGTTCTTTTAATAATTATTAGACTGAAAAGTTAGTGAGAAGCTATAGTCAGCAGAAGACTCAGTGTAATTCACTTCTTACATTGGTCCAACATAGAATCTATTCTCCCACTGGGCAAAGGCCATCTTTTTTTTTAGTTAAGTGGTATGAATGTTAAGACTATTATTCTGTAGTATAGTTGCTAGGGACAACTTTTTATTGATAGTTTTATTCTGCTGTATGTTTTCCAAAAACATAAGTTAAGCTCAACTTTTACACTAACTTTCTAAAATTTAAACATAAATCTAAATATTACATAAATATTCACGTAGGAATCTATCATCCTAAATTCCAATATTCTCAATGGATAGCTATGGCATTTCTATGCCTCCTGAGCAGTACAGTAGATATATGCCACCATGTGGATGAAAGGAGAGACTCCTCTCTTCAATTTTAAATACTACAAATTTTTCAAGCTTTATCAAGTTGATAAAATAAACTGGAGCCCTCCTAATCCTATGCCATTTAAAATACAAAGAAAGTGAAAAATGTATCCAGTTATGATTTTATAATACTGATTTGTAAAACAAGGTTGGACTTAAATGTTGAGAAGCTACATCTAAATGTAGAGTCACAAGCTTTACGAAACAGGTTTAGTTAGCAAACTGTTTCTTATATGAAGTAAGAGCAAAGACTAAGAAGATGACTAGAGAGAGTATGAAAGGCTACATTCTATACCTGATGGAGTGTATAAGCAGGAAGATGAGTCTTCTCATTCAGCAGGCTTGCTGCCCTTCCTGTGGGTGCAGTAAGTAATACATTTAAAAGCTTGCGTTCATGGACATTATTTTTGTCAGAACACTGACTAAAGGTATTCCACTCATCTGATACATCTTGGTCATTTTCAAAACTTTTACAAGCATCTTCTATTTCTTTTTCCATCTTCTGTAAATACTGAAAGAGAGAGCTAACTACTGTAGTCTTCCCACAACCCCCTTTTCCACTTATGATTGTCACAGGATTAGAACAAATCATCTTCACAGCATTCACTTGGTCCAAATCCAATTCTGCTTCATTTATGGGTTCTATATCTGGTGTCTGTTCACCAGAAATCGAATTATTGTCAGAGTTTTCATGACTATCTGGAATATGGCTTGCCTTCAGTTTCTCTGCTTCACAAAGCTGGTCATTGGATACTTTACCATCATCATCTCTTGCTTTTGATTTGTTAATATTACTAACATTGAGTACCTCTCGCACATCACTATGTAGCTGCCATGTGGTGTCTAGCAGATATTTTACAGAACCTGCAATGTCTATTTCAGCTCTGTAAAGTGGAGCAAGAAATACAAGTTTTTTCTCACTGACCACTATCATCTCGTCTTTCAAAAATTTAAGGGATTGCCAGGCATGTTCTATGGGCATATCTTTAGAAACCAAATTGGTTAATTCATCTTGATCTTCACAGGTATGTCCCATATCTCTACATCTTTGCTTCAGTGCATTGTATATTATTAATGCATTCTTCTGCAGTTCAGGAATCTTCCAAAGGAGGTGGTCACACTGGCAGAAAGCTCCCCAAGTTGCCTCACAATGGGAAAGGTCTAGTTCTCGTGAAGTTATCTTCCCATGAAAAGGAAAAAAATTTTAAAATTATTTTATAAAAAGAGACACTGGTATATTGAGGCAGGAATAATGATTTTGGCATTAAATAAATACAAGCTATAATTCAAAAGATATGAAGAAGTCTCGAAAAATATATGGACATTTTTAAGAAATACTAGTCATTCTGCCTTCTCAAACCCAAGCAAAAACACCACTTTTCAAAGCAAAAGCCCTTCATATATCCATTTTTCATTCTATTGTGCAAAACTGAAAGCTTGTACCAACTTGTCCCCTTCCCCTGCATGAAACTTTTAACACAAATTTGTTTCCAGAAGACTTGTGTATCAAATCTATATTCTACCCAAACTATCACCAAGTAGAATATATAAAAAAGAATCAATATGTATAACATTACAATAAATATGTGCACATTAGAACAGAAATTATACTTACTGTGCTTATTATTATTATTATTATTATAAATTAAACTTACTGTGCTTATTACTGTGATTTCCTTTGCTGCCAAATATTAGCAAAGTAGGATGAGATGGTTTTGCCTCATTTTTGGAAAGTTTATATTTTTTTCCCCTTTTTCTTCATATAGAAGAACAAGGAGAAACTTAGCACAATCTATGTATAAAAGTTTTGGCATTGCTTCATTTGTACACAAATGGTACTGGACAGTTAAAACAGACAAATATGATCTGGCCAGTGGACACTACCCACACCACAGGGCCTGATGCATCTGGCACCGCTGATATAGCCCATATGCAAAATAGCAAATGCTTGTTTCACATTATGATGGAGAGCCTGTAAAAGTTTTGGGGTTATTTTAATAGCCATTTTGAAGTTACAGACTAGAAAGGCTAAAGCTGTGCTAGAGATGCAAAGTAATTGATTGATTTTTCCATTTTAAGAGTTTTTGTAAGTAATCCTACTTACAAAATAAATAAAACAAAACAAAACAGACAGGCAATCTACATAGGTACACAGCACTGATTCAGGAATCATTAGTCCAAAATCCTGTACAGATGCAGAACTTGCTATTCCTAAACTATCCTGGGCAGCCACCAACTTAGCCTCTTCTTGAAAACCTCTAACAAAGATTTTATAGCTTCCCTCAGCAGCTTGCTCCATTTTCCCACTGCTTTTCCAATTAAGAATTTCTTGTAATACTTTGATACAATCCCACCAAGCTGTAGTTCAAGCTTATTGCCCTGTGTCCTGCCCTCCATGACAAATAAGAACAATTTTTCTCCAACTTCTTTAGGGCAGCCTTTCAAATACTTGAAAATTGCTATATTTCCCAAGCTTCATGCAGGCAGACTAGGGCTAGACACCGCCCCTTTCCCTCCCTTCCTGCAAGGCCATTTCAGGACCAGACTACATCCCCTCGCCTCCTGCAAGAATGCATCAAGGCCAGGCTGCCCTCCTCCATGCAGCTGGATCAAGCCATGCCATAACCACCCTGGGTGCTGCATCTGGCCTGCCAGCCTGATCTGGTGCATGGCAGACCACGCAATACCCATCTGGCCTGCAAGCCAAAAAGGTTGAGTGCCACTGCTATATGCTGTACAGCCTATCAATCTTTGCAGTTCTGTTCAAACAATACTTTTTTCCTCTACACTAATTCATTTAGCCTCAATAAAACTCAGCAGTTCAGACATAAAATAGCTTGAGATCCTACTGCTTATAAAGCACATGGTAAAGATTTTAAAAGGCACACATTCAAAGCTGTTGTTCCAATGTTATAATTTCAGTTAACCAGCCTGTTGGGACCCAGAGGCCTTCAGGCCTGGGTTCTGACTTTGCGCTTCGCTTAAGCTGTGCGCTTAGCTTGAATTGTGGTCGAGACTTGCACCTGGTGAAAAGGAGCAGATGGAAAATACTGTTCCCGACTCTAAAAGAATTGGGAAGTTGGCTAACTAAATTGAATAAATATAGCTTGGGCAAAACCTACCCCAGCTAGGAATGAAAATACTCTCTCAGAATAAAAAATTCAGGTTAGGGTAACCGTATCTGGCAAACAGAAGCAAGATTATTAACATGCATTAGGAGGAAGGCTTAAGCTAATTTTATGTATTAAGTAGATGGTATATAAAGAGAGGCGAGAGTGTACTATTCAGAACCTGCTCCTGAAAGATCTGGTCACCGATCCAAGATTCAGAACTCAGACGAAGGAGTCAGGACCTCACAGACAGGCCATTCAGTGACAGTGTTCATTACATCTTAGGGTGGTGAGCATGTTGTATTGCTTTTGACTAACTACAATATTAGAATTCTAACTGCTAAGGGCTTAATGCATGTTACTGGTTAAGGAGTAACCGTGTCCTAGTCTTGGAGTTAAGACCTGGTACAAAGCCCAAAATAATGTTACTGGACATAACAAGCCAGAACATGGATCAGAGGAGGTATGAGAGCTCTGAAAAAAAGTGAGACTTAGAAAGAAGGAATTAGCTTCAAAACTTAAGCTATTGAGAGATGATTCATTTCCACCATGAGATTTTTCAATGTATTAAGAAACCATGACAAAAAAGTTTAATCACCCCCCCATGTAAGTATGCTGAGAAAATTAAAAATTGGAATGATATTCAAAGTGCGCACACATCTGCAGTTAATAATTTAACACCAATGTAGAAATCTGCCTGTCTCACTACTTTTCCTCCAACTCATTACAATGATCATCTTGAAGGGCTCAGTATCTTTTACATGAAACCCCTGTGTTCCCCAAACCAGAAAGAAACATTCATTTTCTGCAAACCGTACACAAAGAAAATATAACATTTCCTTTAGTCTAAATTATATTGGAATTTTTTGCACAAGGAGCAGGAATAATGCTAACAAGATTAGATAAGGCATTGCAGTAAAGTTACAGTTTGGGGCAGCTGCATAGAAGGATGCTAGGTAGAGACACAAGTCAGTGAAGAACAATCTTCATAGGCTTACCTCAATACAATTAGTCAGGGATCATAGCTTGGAACAACAGTATTAAGTTCTATGATGATAATATAACATATCCATATAACTTACTGTGCTGAATCCAAGTTTCCATGGTTCATTCTTTAATGTCTTATTCAATGCTATTAGCCTTTCCATTCCATAAGAAGCATTTTCTCTCTCCTCTCCATTCATTTCAGTCTTTCTACACAAATCCACTCTCTCCAAGAGTTTGCAAAAATAACGTGGCAGAAGTCTCGGCAGGAATTCCAGTATCATTGGGAACATCAAAGCAATCAATACCATCTTTCCTGTAACTGTAGATTCATCACAAACGAAGCCTTTATTAAAATACACCCACAAAAAAACATTTCTAGAAAGCAATTCAACTTCATTACTTAGATTAGCAGACCTACTCTCAAAAACCTTAAAATCAGCTGTTCTTTAGTTTTCCACTTCTTGCATTTCCTTTCCTTAAAGCCAAGTTAAAAGTGCATAGCCAACTTTATTAATAATCTGAAAACATTTTACAGACTATTGATATGAATAATAACTACATTTACTCAAATTGAGACTAGGGAAAAAACAACCCTATTTTTTTTTGTTTTGCCGACACGGTGCATTTGACAGTATTTTATATATAATCAGCTTACACATATAGTCAAGACTGACACTACCAGTTTGTGGAGAGCTTTCACACAGAAGAGAACAGCATAGTAGAAAGTAGGCAAATATTTTTGTAAACTCTCAATAACTGGCAGGGGACTTGGGGACAGGGAAAGGACCAGAAACTACAGGGGAAGGAAGGGAAAAGGCACAATGGCCATGTCTACACGAGATGCTGGCTGCACAATAACTGGAGTTACTGTGCAGTTATGCCAAGCAATGGCTTTTTTGTGATGCTGACTTGCAGTAGCTCATGACTACTGTACAGTAGCATCACATTATGATTCCTGCCATATGACACTACTGTGCGGTATTCATGGGCTACGGCAGTCAACATCTCATGTAGAGGTAACCAGTGTGGCTTAGTGGAAAGAAAAAAAACAAAACAATAGCTACTTTGGAGTATGAGGTACTATTTCATGGTCTACCATTAGCCTACTAGACAACCTTGACCTTGATTGGGTCACTTCCTTTCTGCGCTTCAGTAAAATGAGAATAAAACTGTCCTTCTTTGTAAAGTGCTTTATGCTCCTGAAGGAGAGCTAAAAAAAAAAAATCCTGTGCATTCCCTTAGCAAGTAAGAATATAAAAAAATTACCTGTTATTTAAAAATACTGTAAACGGCATCAATTCAAATTTCATACATCAAACCTCAAGCAATCAAGCTATCTGATCAACTGCCTTCCCTAGAAGAAAGTGACTCTAAGATCTTTTTTCCTCCAGCAAGTTCTTGGAGGCAATTGCTCAGTCTCCAAGAGAACAGCACTCAAAGTGATGGAATTCACAACCCAAAATAACAAATTATTTTAGGTTATTAAAAAGACGACTAAGAACACTGTGAGGAAGATCAGGAGGAAGGAGCACAATTTAGGGCAAAGACAACTTATGTTGGATATTACGAAAACTGTAAAGGTGGTGAAACTGGAACAGAATGTAAAGGGAAGTGGCCAGTGGTGACCCTCAGGGGTCCATGCCTGGACTGGTGCTTTTCAACATCTTTATCAATGATTTGGATGGGGGAGTGAAAAGCTCACTGGCCAAGTTCCCAGATGACACCCAAGTTATGGGGCAGTGTGGCCACGCCAGAAGATAGGTTGCACGTACAGGTTGACCTGGACAAGCTCGAGAGTTGGGCAGACCAGAACCACATGAAGTTTAACACTTCCAAGTGTACGGTGCTCCATCTGGGAGCAAACAACCCTTAACATACCTATAGGCTCGGAGGTGACAGCTTGACTTGCACCACAGCCAAAAGGGACCTAGGCGTAATGATCGACCATCACATGAACATGAGCTGTCAGTGCGATGTGGTGGCCAGCAGGGCAAATAACACACTGGCATGCATCAACTGACGCATCTTGTGTAAAACTAAGTGATACTCCCACTGTACTCAGCACTGATGAGACCACAGTTGGAGTACTGCATCCAGTTCTGGGTGCCGCACTTGAATAAGGACATGAAAAAACTTGAGAGGGTCCAGAAGAGAGCCACCTGTATGATCAGAGACTTGCAAGGGAAGCCATACGACGAAAGGCTGAGGGACCTGGGCTTCTTTAGCCTAAAGAAGAGAAGGTTGAGAGGGGACTTGATAGCGGCTTACCGCTATATTAGAGGAATGCATCAGAAGCTCAGTGAACAACTGTTCACTAGGGCACCCCTGGGGAAGACCAGGACCAATGGATACAAACTCCTGGAAGGCTGCTTCAGGCTTAATACCAGGAAAAACTCCTGTCAGTCAGGGCAATCACCTACCCTGGAGGCTTTCAAGAGCAGACTGGACAGCCACCTCACTGGGGTCACTTGACCTCAGTTGTCTTCCTGCCTAGAGCAGGGGGCGGGCTGGACACAGTGATCTGCAAGGTCCCTTCCAGTCCCTAACAATCTATGAATGTTGTGCAACCTCCTTCATTGGAGACTCATCATAAGCTAAAAACAGATAATCAGTTTATCTGGGGCCAACTCCCATCAAGACAGTCTAGTCATTTGCATCACATGCAGCTTAAATGGCAAAAACTCCCATGATTAATAAGCCCCAGTTCTCCTGGAGAAAGTGTTGCCTTGGTACTTTAAAGGTATTTAGGGTGGGATAGTGGGCATACAGAATAAAAGGTTTTGGGTTGAGGAGGAGGGGGAACTCTACTGTCTGCTTTTAAACTTAAACAAATTTCTGCCTGGCATGATGTAGGTATATTTAACCCTGCCTGCAAATAGAAGTTTGGGCTAGTTTCTCTCAAAGTTTCTTCCAGCCCTATGCTTTTATCTTAAAAAGGAAATTTCATTAGCTGGCACTTATATAAATCATATCACCTGATACATGAATCATGTACAGCTCAATATGTCACATAAAGGAGAGCTGAACAGAGTTGAATCAGTAGTTCTGAGATAAATAAAAGTTTATTGGGTGGATCTGTGTGTTGAATGCCACCCACCACCTACAAATGTTTTCCCCCTATCTGACTCCTTCACGTCCCAGGTCATGCAGACTTACGTACATGCTCAATTTTAAACAGGTTTGTGGAACTAGTCACATGCCTGAAGCTAAGCATGGGAACAAGAAAAATCTTTTGTAAAATAAACGTTTATTTAAATGCACTGTGTGCTACGACATTAGCCTGAAAAAAATATCTGAAAACTCATCAATATTTTTATGTGAGAATACATAAAATGTACTTACACGATTTCATAACATAAACAAAGATATCAAATTCTTTGGTCTCTCTGGGATTTTTTCCTTCCTTAAGTTTTGACTTTTGAAACTCATCTAGTATTTCTTCAAGATTTCTGAAGTCCAAAGATGCATTCGCAGGAAGCCAATTAAAAAATGCTAGTATAAAATCATCAGGAACTTTACACTCTTTCAAGAAGAGAGAAAACACTTCTTTTTGGTTCTCTCCAATATCAGCCTGTAGAAAATATGATGGATATCCTTGTGCAACATTCTTTGATCCCACCTGTTTAACTTTAATGTTAACTTTCCACCAAGGGCCAACAAACGGAAAACGTCCAACCACGGCATATTTCTTCTGGGATGTTTCCTCCTGTATTATAACTGAAAATAATAATAATAAATTACAAATGGTGAGACTAAAAAAATTGTGATTTTAAATTTAACTACATTTTACAAAACAAATCACTAGGTAAACAAGTTTAGAAATAGTTTTAACTTTATTATTTTGACAGATGTCCATAATTTCATTCCAGGCCATACTAATCATCCTGGTTTTCCCCGATTTAAAAAAAAAAAATCGCAATTTCTCCCATTAAAACCCTCAAATCTGTGATTAACTAAAAGGCCCCTTGCTCCCCACCCCCAGCCTCCCTGAAGGCCTGCTGGTGCCCCCCACTCTCCTTCCACAGCCCCCTGGCCCTGCTCGTGCCCCTCACTCCCTCCCCCGCAAACCCCTGCCAGAAAGAGCTCCCAGCTGCCAGGGGCTACAGGGTCAGGGACCTGGGTCCACAACCCACTGCTCCTGGTAGCAGCAGCAAAGCAGAACCTAACTCCTCCCCACCCCTGCTGCAGGCTCTGATGGGGGGGCAGCTCCCTGCTGCCGTGCACTCCCAGGAGGTCAGTGGGGACCTGTGCCCCCCAGATCTGTACACAGGGTGGGTGTGGGCTGCATGTTGTGGGCTTAGGCTCCCCCCTGCTGCCCTCTTCCAGGGCCTCTGCAGCCCAGCAGGTGTGACCCGGCACTGCAGGGCACAGTGAGGCGTTGCAGAAAAGCTGCTTGCTGCTGAGAACTGTGTGCTGCCTTTGCGTCCCCTTTGTGTGGGGCTGCAGTGAGAGGCAGAACCCTGCACCACCGCCCCCAAGGCTGCTGCGTGTGGTCAGGGCAGTGTAGAGCTCACAGCGGCAATGAGTTCCTGTGCAGCACTGCTGTGCCCTGCAGTGCTGGGTGGCACCCACCAAGCTGCGGAGGCCCCAGGGGAAGGCAGCGGGGTGGGAGCAACAGGCAGCCTGTGCCCACCCTGTGCACGCAGCTGGAGGGCATGGGTTCCCCGTCCCCCATGAGCACACACAACGTCAGGAAGCCAGCCCATCCCCCGCTGCCCTGAACAACCCACCCGCAACCCTGCCCCACTCCCCGCTGGGGCCCTGTGGCCACTCATTACAGCCCCGGGGCCTAAGCCCCACGCACTGCCAAGCTGGGACAGAGCTGGGGCTGCTGCTAAGTCCCTCTCCCTCCGTTTCCACCTCCTCCCAACTCATCCTGCAGGAGCTGCTCTTCAGGCTACCTGGCAGCCATGTGCATGCGTGCGTGTACATGTGCACACGGCACCCCCTGCTGGACAGCCCTCCCCCTGCTCCCTCCCACCCCCTACAGGCTGGAACTCTGCCAATCTGCAGAGAGCTCTTTGCAAAACAACAAAATCCACAGTTTCCTTCGGCAAAGGGGAATATCCGTGTTTTTCTCCGTTTTTCCATGGGAAATGGAAAACCCAGAACCCTGCTAATCGACTAATCTGGAGTCAAAAAACGTTATTTTCCCTGGCTCAGATTGAATAGAACAGTGCTGGGGGGGGGATTACCTTCTTCCATACCATGATGTGATCCTCATTGGCATGACAAGATAGCTGGCAGTGCCCTTGTCGCCTCTGCTTTTATCTGTGACATGTTGTAGTGCAGGGATTCTCAACCAGGGTGCCACAAAATCCTTTTAATAGTGCCACAGGATGCTGTACAATATTAGCACTAAGAGGTGTGTAAATACTTGCACATGATTAACAACATAAACCAGAGAATTCAAACAGGAATCCATAATCCCAAAAACCTTCTGATTTGTTGTGATTTTTCTGATATCTTTGCAGGAGAACTGTGCTATTTTTCCATAGCTAGAAAATGAACAAAAGGTAAGAGCTGGCATTCTCCAAGGGGTCCCTTGACTCTACTCAGGTTAAGAACCAGCACTGTAGTTTATTTTTGTTCTGCCACATAGTTGTATATGAAGGTCTGATGCAGTGTTTTTGTTTAATGAGATGAGTCTGGGAAATCCTCAGGTCAGTGTAGTTCTCAAACATTTTAGACTTAAGGCACTCCTTAGAAATGCTAGCTCTTAGTTCTCACTCTGTTTTTTTTACTACAGAAAAATAATAGGGCAGTTTTTCTATTGCAGAGAACTCAGGAAGACCACACCTATGGATTTCCATTTCAAATCTCTGGGTTTATCTTGTGAATCCTGTTTGTAAACCTAACAGTGCTAATCTCAAGGCATTCCAAGGTGGCACTCTACTTCAGCATCACTGCCTTTAGACCTGCTAATGCAGAGAAAATGAATCACTAACCAGGGGACACTTTTCAGCCTGTGTCCCTATGAATCTCATCCAAGCATAACTGAGCTGTTGGAAACTTTATTGGTATTAGGATACACTGTTTGGGAAACACCCTTTTCCTACAGCTGCTTATTTGGAAACAGTAAGTTTATTATTAGCTTATGGTAGCATTTTCAGCACTCTGCAACTTTCAAGAGATAATACCAGGAGATGTTTATCACTTAGTAGAAGTGAAGGTTAATTGAAGTTAACTGCTTAACTTCATTACTTTCATTTGTCCTATTTTCCTTACAAGAATGACAAGGTTTTATTTAATAGAACTTGTAAATAGAGTGCAATCTTAACTGGATTTGAGCATGCTACCCCTTTGCAGAATAAAGACAGGCAAGCTTCTCATCACCAGACAAAGCTACGTACTTCTTGACTTTAACTGCAACCACAACTACTTAAAAAAAAATAACACAATTGGAACTCAATTCTTAAGGAAAATACATGTGTGCTTGGAAAAACAACCAGAGCGCTAACTTAACATCCCTCAGCCTGTGTTCAGGAATTAAACCAGAGTGACCTGCTGGCCAATTTTAAAGGACATCAGTGTGCAAACATCTAGTGCCAGAATTTTCCCAGGTGCTGACTCTTCCCACTTCAAAAAGGAACTTTTGGGCACTCAAATAAACCTCTAAATCTCACCTAACTAAAAGTTCCAGATGCGGTTATATTCTTGTCTGACACCCGATTTTAAGTAAGACTCGGGGATTATGAGAGTTCAAACAAGGAGACAAATTCCACAAGTGCTGATAAGCAAAGGGTGTGTCTACATGAGACACTTACTTCACATTAGCCTGATAACACTGCAGTAGCCTGGCAGTTAAAAATTGTGCTAACAGCCTACTGCATAGTGTTATTAGGCTAAAGCATCACAAAGTAAGTGTGTGCTGGCACTACTGTGCAGTAAGTCTAGTTACTGTACATTTAGTACTTCATTAAACAAGTACTAAATTAAATGAGCAGTAATTGTGGCTCATTAATGAATGTGTAGATGGACCCGAAGAATTTTACTCCGAGCACTACACTTGGGCAGGGGTGTAGGATCTGGCACCTAGCATGTTTTTAGTTTATTGCTTCTCAATTAATGCAAAACTTGCCCAAAGGTTTGCTTCTCTAATAAAAAAAAAATTCTCTACTAATTTTACCAGCACTAGATTCATGGCACTTTTTGTATACAACCGCAACGAAGCATAATTTCTAACTAGTTATAACTTTCAGTTTTAAACATTAAAAAAGGTTTGGACCCAGTTATTGCAATGTAATAGCTCACTAAAACGTCAAATAGTACAACCTAGTCTGAGGTTTCAGGTAATAAAGACTATGTATATGGAAGGAAACTATAATGGGCCAAGTCAATCCTACGTGAAAAAAAACTGAGCCATTGCGCAGCACTTCACACCACAAAATGGCTGAACTGGCCCATGAATTGTTCTTTGCTCAAAGCAGAGACCACCTCCCCAACACCACCTGAGCAGCGAGCAGTACCAGAGCAGCCTGTGTGGAGATTGGCAGAAGGGGGAGAAAGCCTGTTTGATGCACAGAAAAACCAAGGGCACGTGCCCACAGAGAAATGGTTAGCCTCCCATGTTCTCAGAGGTGTGAATAAACTGGTTTAAATTGTCCCAAGAAATCAGTAACAGGAACAGAAGTGGAGGTCAGCAGTTGCCAAGGAGTGCTCCAGGGGGCACCAAGCAAACCACATCAGCCAGTGCCCACTGGGAAAAGGGGGAGAAGGAAACAGTGCAGTGTGGGATGCCTGCAGCACCACTGGTGTCTGTACCCAACACTGATCCCAATCCCAGAGAACCAGTTACAAATAACACTGGATTTTCTGGGTACTTTTAAAAGATTGCAGGTGGTTTAAAACTGTACTAAACCAGCTTTTATGTCTGGACAACCTTAGCTAAAACCGCACTGAAAATGGTCCAGGTGCTATGAGTGCCCACACCCTAGGTGTTAATTTAGCCCCTGGCCACCAGGTGGGATCTGGTCAGCAGGGGTCCCCAAGGGCCTGAAAATTTGGCAGTGGGGGACTGGGGGTAGCAATCATTGCTTCCCCCTGCTCCCAAATTTCCACTCGCCACATCCCAGGCATTGGAACCAGTGGCCCTGCAGGCCAGAGCGTGGCCACATCCCAGCACGGTGGTATCCTGGAGCATCCCCAGGCACTGGCCTCACACCCTGCTCCAGCACAGCTGATTCAGCCACTGGTGGGCAGAGATCAGGGCTCAGTGGTTCACCCGCGGGGGAACAGCGCAGCCCCTGCCTCTGCTGCCTGCCCTGAGTGCCAGCTGCAAGAGAACCAGCTGCAGGGGGCACCCCTGGCGCTGCCAAGCCAGGTCAGGCAGGGAGTGAATGTGCGCCTGGGCATCAGGAGCGGAAAGGGACCAGTTCTTCCCCGTAAGCTAGTAATTACGGTAAGTAAATGCAGTAAATTGCCCTCCCCCCACATCCACTCAAATTAGAGCTGCGCTCAGGCGCTAAATTCCTTCCCTCTTCCGCCTCCCCTCCCCCCCACAGGTCCACTCTGATTGGAGAGGAGCCTTGAGGGTTCCACCCCCCGCGGTAACGTCACCTGCCCCCACAAACCCGCCAAACCGTTGGCGGGGGCGTGCCTGCGTCGACCCCCTTGCAGCGGCTGCGCTCACCAGCTCGCCGCGCCTGCCCGGCGCCCTCGCAGCTCAGCTCGGCGGGGCCCGCCAGGAACGGCTCGTCCAGCGCGGCGTCCTCGTAGCCTTCCTCCTCCTCCTCCTCCTCCTCCTCGTCCCCGTCTGGCCCCAGCCCCGGCTCGTCCTTGGGCGGCAACAGCCGCCCCCACAGCTCGGGTCCCGGCCTGGCTCCGCACTGCTCGCCCGCCCGCGCCATGCCCACGCCCCGCCCCGGCCCGCAAGTCCGGAAGGCGGCGCGAGTCTGCACTTCCCTGCTTGCGGGAGGTGACTCCGCCTCCGGCCCGGCCGCGGTTCCAGGCCCTCGGCGCCTCAGACTCCCGAGCTGCCCCGCCCCTGCCGCGAGGGAAGCGGAGCCGCGGCAGCGACTAATTGGTTTGCCGAAGCGCGTTCGTCCGAGACAGCCCAGGGCTCCCCCTGGCTGGGCAACTGATGCTGCCTTGGCTGCGTCGGGTCTCGTCGCCCCACACTCAAACGGCGCCAGCTTGGGGCTGCATCGAGCATCCCCCCTCGGCCAGGGGCCAGGTTTGGGTCGGACTGTCACCCACTCTTGAAGCCACATGGGGCCCTGGCGCAGCAACCTCAGGCATGCACGCGGTGGGCCCCGGAGGCAGGGGGTCACAGCAAGCCCCTGCCGGGGGGGGGGCAGGGCTGTGGGCAGCGGGAGTGTGGCTGCAGCAAGTGGGGGGGTCCTGCAGGCAGGTGGCAAGCAGTGACCAGCAGTTGATGACCACCCACAGGCACTGCTGCAGCAATTGGGGACTGCCAGCAGATGCGGCCTGCAGTGTCAGCGGGGGCGGGGGGAAACAGCAACCACCCGCGAGCACCTCCAGCAGTATCAGCAACACCTTTTCACAGGGTGCACGTGTACCCTGTACACAATGCCAGTGACCTAAGGTGCAAGATCAGGACCATCACTGGACCCAGACCATGCACAGACAGGGCACTGCCCATCCAGCTCACCCACCAAAAATGTTGAGGGCTCCTGTGCTACAGGAATCCCAGGCAGAGGACCATGCTCCTTGCTGCAGAGGGCAAAAACCCACACAGTCTATGGGGTAAAACTCGGTCCTGACCCCAAATATGAGGATTGGTCTGACCCTGAGCAGAAGGACATACACCTGGGGAACTCCCTACTTGAGAGCACGGAGGCAGAAAGGGATCTTGGAGTCATTATTGACCCCAAGATGAACATGGGCTGACAATGCGAGGCCATGGTTGGCAGGGCTAACCGGACCTTATCGTGCATCCACAGGTGCATCTTGAGTAGAGCCAAGGAGGTGATCCTCCCCCTCTATGCGACGCTGGTCAGGCCACAGCTGGAGTATTGTGTCCAGTTCTGTGCGCCCCATTTCAAGAGGGATGTGGACAATATGGAGAGGGTCCAGAGGAGGGCCACCCGCATGATCCGGGGACAACAGGGCAGACCCTACAGTGAGAGACTGCGGGACCTGAACCTATTCAGCCTCCACAAGAGAAGGCTGAGGGGGGACCTGGTGACCGTCTATAAACTCACTAGGGGGGACCAGAAGGGTTTGGGGGAGACGCTGTTTCCCCTAGCGCCCGCTGGCATAACAAGGAGTAATGGGCACAAGTTGATGGAGAGGAGGTATAGATTGGACATCCGCAAAAACTACTTCACAGTTAGGGCGGCTAGGAGCTGGAACCAACTTCCAAGGGAAGTGGTGCTGGCCCCTACCCTGGGGGTCTTTAAGAAGAGGCTGGATGCCTACCTGGCTGGACTCATTTGAGTCCCGTTTTTGTTTTGGGGGTTTTTTTTGTTCTCCCGCCCTGGCGGGGGGTCGGGCTAGAAGATCTACTAGGTCCCTTCCAACCCTAAATCTATGAAACTATGAAACCTCTGGCTTTGGTCCCAGCAGGAGTGTTGGCACACCTCGAAGACCCTGCAATCACCTACCCTGGAAATCTTCAAGAGGAGACAGTCACCTTGGTGGGATCACCTGACCCCCATTTATCTTTCCTGCTTGGTGCAGGGGGCTAGATCCTGACGATTTCCACCCCAGAGTGCTGAGGGAATTGGCAGGGGTCACTGCAGGACCCCTGGCAAAGCTTTATGAGCACTCATGGTGCTCTGGCGAGGTGCCAGATGACTGGAAAAGGGCCAGTGTGGTCCCCAT